TTTGAAAACGTGGTTTAATGAAAAAGGCTTTACTCTCGCGTTTTTATTTCCTTTGCAATGAAACAATGATAATTTGATTAATTTTATATGTTTTATTTTTGTTATTCACATTTAATTGATTATTTTAACCATATTTTAAACACTATCGGTTTTAAACACACATACATATATACATGTAATGTATATATGTATGTATGTGTCTATATATACTCACAGAAGCGCGCCCTCGCACGTTTTAATGAGGTTGTCAACTTTTATGGTTATAACTTTTAAACCCTCTATGACTTTTTGATAAAATTTTTAGCTAATTTATAAATTTTAAATTTTTTTAAATAGTTAGAACTATTTGAAAATATGTTTATTTTTGAAAAACCAATTCTCTTTTGTTTTGGTGGGAAATGCTTTTTCACAGCAGTTTTGTTCCCATTGCAAAATACGTCATCGCAATTTTTAGTGAAACATCCTCATATGACATAAGTACGAACATACAAAAGTATGGAGTTCAACAGCCGTGTATTTTAAGCACAATAAGTAAAATATATAAAATATTGGAGATGCATAGGGAAGACCAACTCAATTTGACTACTGGGGTAGACACCAGAGTCGTCCCGAACGGAGGGTGTCGCAGGTGTCCCACCCCTCCAAAACTGGTAGACACAATTCGTAGGCCCTGGTAGACACAATTCGTTTATAAACAAAAAAAAACGAAAGTTATAACTTTCTAATGATAAGCGTTACATTTTATGGCGCAAAAACTTTTTTTACGCTTATTAAAGATTAATTTGTCAAACGTTATTGAAATGATTATACATTTATAACAAATTTTAGACTATAAACTCAATAATGAAGAATAAAAAATTATACTAATACAGTTTTAAATGAAGATTTTTAATTTAGATAAGCTAAACCAAATTTAAATACCGTAGTAGGGTTATGTGGCTATAAATAGAATTATTTTATATAGTACAAGTGATTGTGTGATCGATACGGACAAACATTTCGAACGCAAGTCATTTTAGGATTGATATGCGGACAAATGCATTCTGCGACTGTGAAAAATTATACGCTATTGTTCTAGAGAGCAACCAGTGTTTTTTTCGGACAAATTTATTTTGCTCTACTCTAATAATTTTCTTTTCTTTTTTTTACCAATGGCCGCATTTATTTTTAAAATTTATTGATAACTTGCTGAATGGCAAAAACGCCATTGTTCAATTTGTAGAACCGCCACTTAGCTCTGGATTTAAATGGTTCTGTTACTTGTTATAATTGGGTTGGATAAAATTGAAGTAAAGGAATTTTTCGAAGTTTTTTTTACTTTTGGTTTACCTTTGTTGATCGTTGTACAACTTTAAATAACTAATAATAAAAATAATAATATATAACTTACAATGATAGAAATTATAAAAATTATATCTGAAACATACCTTGTCTGTAAAAAAAGTAGACCAAAATATATTTGTAACATTTACTACTAATAATAACTCAATATATTATCTAATGAAAGAATGAGGTTTTTTAGTTTATTTTTAAAAAGGCAAATAGTAATAGGTATTTCAAAATTAAAATTCGGCAAAACAATTTTATTTCAAAGGTGTGGTAGGTAAGGCTCGATAAAAAGACTCGATAGGTAATACAAAATAGATTTAAATTCGTTTGATAAAAAGGTTCATTTAAAAAGTTATTATTTCTTAAAATATATTAATTATAGTTATATATATAAATATAATAAATATTATAATCATATAATTAATTATATTTATATAATTATTTATAATGTAAATTATAATTTTAAGTAGATTTGCTATCATTCTTTAGTAAAATGAGCTCAAAAAATTCGTATACTTTTTAATTTAAGCTTGAAATGCAGTTTAATAAATTTTTATCAATAAACTCAATCTATTGAAAAATTAGTTCTTGAAAGTAAAATTACAAGAAATTTTTTCCACTTTTTGATTTGGCATTTTAACGAGCTCTGAGTTCCTCCGGTTTGTTTTTATGAATGAATTATCATGATAAATTTTTAGGATGCCCAAAAACTTAATTTTCTGCTTTTATAATACGATTGTATGTATCATTAATTTTAACATTTTTAATTTTAAAATTTACAGCCATTCATTCATTTTTTCAAAAAAAAAATCTCATTAATTTCTTTTATTTTTGATTTTAAATACAAAGTTCGTTTTTCCATGCATGTTTTATTGTTCCAATTATAGAAACATTTGTCATTTGTATAATGTGTACAATGTAGGGGAAAACTTATTATGTTTATTAATTTTTTTTTAGCACCCCCTTCCCCTGTAAGAAGGCGATTTTCAAGTTATATTTGTCATTTGAGGAATATAGTCGGGTCGCTAGTCGGGTATTTGACACAATCGAGTGAATTTTAGTTTTGAGGCCTTTTTTTTTTAGGAACCAGTCATACTTATTAAGGATTTAACCCCCTTCCCTTTCATTTTTTTCGTAGAGTCGTGTTTGTGTGTGTTAACTTTCTAATGATAAGCATTACATTTTATGACGCAATATATATATATATATACATATATATATATATATACATATATATATATATATATATATATATATATATATATATATATATATGTATATATACATATATATATATATATATACATATATATATATATATGTATATATATATATATATATGTATATATATATATATATATATATATATATATATATATAAATTGCATTATATATATATATATATATATATATATATGTATATATATATATATATATATATATATATACATATATATATATATATATATATATATATATACATATATATATATATATATATATATATATATATATATATATATATATATATATATATATATATGTATATATATATATATATATATATATATATATATATATATGTATATATATATATATATATATATATATATATGTATATATATATATATATATATATATATATATATATATATATATATATATATATATATATATATATATATATATATATATATATATATATATATATATATATATAGTTAGTATTACGTTGTAGGTATTATTTTGACCAAAGAAGCTATATGTCAAGTGGTTGTTTATTGAACTTTATTGAATTGTTTATTTGAAGCGCAGTGGTTAGAGTTCTGGCTCAGAACCCAGAGGTTCGAGGTTCGACGCCAGCTCTAGCCCAACAAGCGACATTGGTACGGAAGGAGGCGTGAACTTCTTGTTAAATGCTCTACCGCGGTGCTGTATGATAAGACCGTAAGGACTTCTGGGAGCACCTAAATACATACAAAAAAAAAAAAAAAAAAAAAAAAACTAAAGATAACACCGTCCATATTTCACTAGGTTGGGATTGCATTAGGCCAGTGTTGGTCTAACAGTATTTAAACTCCTGGACCTTTACAAAGTTTATCGCATGCCCAACAAAAATTTTTATTGAATATAGAAATTAAAAAAAAAAAACATATATATTTTATAGATCCTCCTGCACGAGATGTTCGTTTCCAAAGAAGTCTTTTTGCACGAAAGAAATCGTCATCGTTTTGTGCGCATGATTTATATAAAGAATCGACGTCAAAAAAATACGACAACAGAAATAGGTCAAAGAGCGGTAATCTACCTGAACAGAAAAGCGATGAATCAGTAAGTAATATTTATTTTTTGGATTTATTGTTTAACACATTTGTAACAGTTTCATTAAAAGAAACTATCGATAAAAATTAGAAAAAAAGATTTTTAACTAATATCAAAATTTTTTGATATAGCAAAAGGATTGGAAACATCAGTTTTTTATTTCCAAGTTTATTTCGGCTTTGAAGCTATAATTATGACTTTCCAATAATATTCATTTTGTTATTATGGTAATTAGGAAATCTAACGCGTTTTGAACGACCTGTGCAATATGTAAAATATCTATAACGTAAGCATTGGTTGTCAAGTTGAATTTTAATGATATTTTAACTGTTGCTATGAAAAAGTCATATAGAAAAAGTTGGAGAAACCAATTCAAAAAATAAATAATTAAAAATTTTTTTATTTGATTATAATTGATTTATTTTTATTGAAGAAGATTAAACGAAAAAAATTATATTAAATACATTACTAGAATCAATTTATTTGTATCCAAGTTGTAGATTTTTAAGAATTGATTTATTTGCATTTATAAATTTAGTTTAGTATACAACTTTATTACTTTTTCAAACATCGACGTGAGTGACGGTAAAATTACGTCGTAATTTTTTTTATTATTTAATGTTTAAACCGGATATAAGGTTTTTATTTTGCACAGCTATGTATTTGAAAAAATATACCGCTGGTTGTCAAATAGCTGATTTTTTTTTTCTTTTCTATTTCAACTGCATCTTTCTTTGACAATATTTATAACATTATAATTTTGTCTTTTATTGTCGAAACGACTGCGACTTAAAACTCCGATCTTTTGGTTTTATTTTAATTTTTTTTTCCCTTTTAAATATATATTTGTGATTTTCTTTACATTTGTTAGTTCTAGTCAGATAAGTTATTATAAAGATTATTGCTTCTGTTTTTGTTTAAAAAAGATCTTTGTTCGAAGATACTATGTTAAGCTTAAAAATAAATATCTTTGTTTAATTTGAAGAACTTATTAGGTAGTTAACCTGCTTTTTTTCATTTTTTTTTTAATATCATATTTTGATGAATGAACGATTATCAAGTATAAATTTTTTCTAAGTTTCATGTTTTAAAATTGATAAATTTTGAACTCCGTAGTTGTATGATTTAGTATGGACCTTGTTTAATTTTTTTACTTAAAATAAGGTAAGGAGACTTTATTTTCTATTTTGAGCAGAAAAGATCAAAACTTATATAGGCTATGAAAGATAACTGATGTAATTAAATTTATTTAAAATTTAAATAAATCTTTTTCATGAGGTAGTTTTACCAAAACATTTTGATGGTTAAAAACTAAAAAAATAAACATTAAAATTAAACTGGGTAGTCATTTTTACAAGAGCAATTATTCTTTACTAGGGGTAATCATTTTTTACTAGGCTAATCATTTTTTACTAGGGTGAATCCAGTTGGATGATTAATTTTCACCCATAAAGACATTATTAGCCAAAGCGTTCAAGTTAAGTAAGGTGCACGTAAATAAGATCCACTTAAAGTACATCAAGAATATAAAAAAAATTGTTTAAAAACTTAAAATTTTTTTTTTTTAGTCTTTATTCATTGTTTTATATTTTCTTCTTTTGTGCATTGTTTTTTTGTTGTTGTGTCGTTTGATAACTTTTTGTTTTGTATCGTGTTTTTTTTATTGGTTTTTGTTTTACACAATTTTAGCAAAATGTCACAAAATAAATTTCTCATGAGTAAGAACCATTTTGTAAGTAAGTTCCATCATTTTAACTCAATAATAAGATTGGTATGTATGTTTTTTTTTTAATTTGTCTAATTGTTTTGTTGCTCGACGGCAAACGTGCATTACTGAATATTTTGAGAAGAGTTTTTGTAAGTCCTATATCAACCGGATCTTTACCGTTGATCATTAATTTTTCGTTGATCATAAATTCTACTGCAATATACTATTGTCCAATAAAACAAAAGTCGACAATTATATCGAAAATTTCTTGTTGTTTTTAGCAGAGTTTAATAAAATTAATTTTGTCATTGATACCGTTTTATGTCTTTTTTAAAAGAAGCTGTTCGTGTAACAGGTAAATGCAGTAAAAGCTTTTTTATATATATATATATATATATATATAAAACGTTACATAAACACTAATAAATATCATATTATATTTTATAAAAACATCATTAATATGACAAAATAAAGGGTTTATAAGTTTAAAATACAGAATAATTTACCCAACTATAACATTAGTTAATAAAAGTTTAGAATAAAATAAACATATGTAAATTTAATAAAAAAACGTAGCATGGTGTTGTATGGTTGTATTTTGGTAAAAGAATGCACAACAGACTAGGAAAACTATGGGTAATTTTCAGATTTAAATGATAAGTCATGCACTATAGTATGTTTAATGATCATGATATTATTATTCATTGATTTGATTTTTAAACCACAAAGATTTAACTCAAACGGCGCCGCTGTTGTAATGTTGACGATGCTGTAAAGTTGACGTTGTTGTATTATTGAAGTTGCTGTGACTTTTTATGATTCTTTCACTGTGCAATAGAAAACATCAGAATATTTTGCTTATTTTTTTTTTTAGATGTCAAAACTCAAACACCAAAATTCATTTGATGAGGTATCTATTCATTATATATTTAAAGTATTTAATACACACACATATGCATAGATATAATTAGGAAATGTTAATGCTACAAATGCGACGCTATTGTAGCCAAAAGTCAACAAATTTGTAAAACCATACTATAGGTCACATTGTGAAACCATACTATAGGTTACATTTTTTTTTCAAGTTTTTTTTTAAAGACATTTTTTTTTAAGTTTTGTGCCAATATATTTTCCAGCATTTAAGTTGTTAAATTAACATTATTTTATTTATTAAGTTGATAAAATAAAATACTCATTTTAGTACTCATTTTAGTTTTTGAAAATGTGGGAAAAAAGTTTCACATTTACATTTTTTTCATGCGTGCATAAATGTAAAAGTACAAAAATTTCTCTAAAAACATTTAAGACAGTTTGAATGAATTTGTTAATAAGTTACGTGTATATCAGTGATTTATAATCTATGATAAAATTTTTTGGTTAAAAAAGTAGTTATAAAAATATTGCAAACGCTTTTAAATGTTTTGAAGTTATTTAGATATAAAAAACAAAATAAATAAAATAAGAAAAAGTTAAAAATAAAAAAAAATTTAATCATTTATTATTTATTTTGCACTACAACTATATATACTTATAACTTTATAACAAATAGGAAAATAAGTTATTTAGCCGATTATGTTTACTATATTATACGTTTATATTTTATTTACTATACACGTCGACAAATTTCTAAAAATAATTTAAACACACGCACTTAATAAAACTAGTTAAAAAAAAAAATGATAGGATACATTTTTTGTCCACTCGAGAAACTTTAGATATTTATATATATATATATATATATATATATATATATATATATATATATATATATATATATATATAATATATATATATATATATATATATATATATATATATATATATATATATATATACACAGAGGCGATCTACAAATAAAATGAGGGGGTAAATCTTCAAAAAGTACCGACAAGCTTCTATAAAAAAAAAGATCCTCAAAACGAAAATTAAACCGACTAAATCCGTTAAAACACCAACTTGAACTTGAAAATTACCTTCATTGGGGGGGGGGGGGGATCAAGATCCCTCCTCTTCGTAAAATCGCCTCTGTATATATGTATATATACGCACACTCATGTATGTGTGTATATATATACACACATACATGTGTGTATATATATATGTGTGTATATATATATAAATATATATATTTATATATATATATATATATATATATATATATATATATATATATATATATATATATATATATATATATATATATATATACACTTATATATATACACACATACATACATTTCACAACTAAAATTATTACTTCAACTATATATATACCTAACTGTATAAATTCTAACTAAACTATTTTTTCCTTTTATTGTCTAAAGTAACAAAATTAACAAATGGAAGTGACGTCATTTATATTTCCGATAAATCTTTTAATCTCTTAATTGTTCATATCGTAACATACTTATCGTAACATACTTATCGCCATCCAAACATTAACACAAAAATTGTTACTCAAAAATGCTTGTTTTCATAGCTACCCAGAAAATCTATAGACACCCAATTGAATGGTCATCATGCAATCGGTCAAAATGCACTGAGAGATAAATTAATACTGCAGTTTAATGGCCTTAGAGAAAGTAACACCTTAGTAACAAATTCAGCACCGTGTTCACCAGGACAATCAGTTGCACATCCTGCACTTCTTAAATTAGCGGTATTTTTTCCAAACACTGTAATGATATAGTATTACATTTCTTTAAAAATTCATGTAGTAAAAGTTCAAGCCAAAATTTTAAATGTCTGTTAGCTATTACAAGTAAAAATTATTACGTTCTTTATTGAAACATCTTTTATAAACTACTGAAGCATCCAAAATGTATTTTTAGCTCATTTTAAATTCATTTTAGAAAATGTTCTTTAATATTTTAATCATTCTATACACGATAAGCAATATTTATTATATAATTACATATATGAAGACATTTTCATTATTTTAGGGGGAAACAGATGAAGATGCTAAAGTCAGAAAAGAAGCTTTATTATCAAGAGATCGAATGCGTAATTCTACTGTGGTTCAAATACCAAGTGCAAGTATACAAATGGATCTTCATACTTTGTATCTGGATAAAATTAACCAGCAAAACAAAGGTATTTAGTAAACCGTGAGAATAATAATATAATGATTTAGAAAAAAGTATTAGGGCCATTTTTTCCAGGTTCCAATCACCTTATTGTCAAACATTTAACTTCTTTTTTATATATTTTATTTTGGTGACCGCAAGAAGTCCTTAAGGTCTTATCACAGAGCACCGTGGATGAGCATTTAATTGGAACTTCACCTCTCCTTTCTAACTGATGTTGCAAAACTTGCCCAGAGGTGGGGTTTGAACCACAGATACTTTGTTTCTGAGGCAAGTGCGCTATCACTGCTCCACGGCTGCTCTAAGTTAAATATCATGTTGGAGCATTTCAAACATAAGTTATAACTTATATTTTAGCTATAATTTAATAAAAAAAAGTTTTTGGTAAATCTAGAAAGATTTATTACAAAGCTTAATTTCCTTCCCCGCCTCCCTGCTTCAACATTTTGAAAGAGGGGGCGTGGAAGCGTCATTTAGAGAAAGCCTGCAAAAAAACTTAAAATTTTAACTCCCTTCAGATAAAAATGTGTATAACGGATCCACGTGCTTCAATTAGAAAATACTATTCCATAATTCAAATTGTATTTAGAAAATTTCTAAGTTAAGTTACTCAGCTAATTTGTAATACTAACGTCATCCATTTTTTGGAGAAATTTGCTGTAGTTGAAATATTGAAATTTTTCTAGGAATAAAGTAAACATTTTTTTTAAAACATAAATATTTTTAAATGCCTACGTGATGCATTATAACAGCCTGCTTCCGAAAACCTTTAATAATAAATTTACGAAAAATGTTAACAATAATTACTCTCTTAGAATAAACCAATGGAATACTTATAAATTGCCTAGAATTAGGAGCAAGTATTATGAATATGGAATAGCATACCGTGGACCGAAACTATGGAGCACATTTCAAAAAACTAAACATTTAAATACGGTAAAATCATTAAACTCCTTTAAGTTTCTAAAAAAAAATGAAATTTTTAAACATTATAAATAATTTTGCAATTTTTCAAATTCCAATTACTCTTAGTTTGAAAAAAAAAAATTGTGTCTTTTTTTTTATATTTAAAACAATGTCAGTATCTTTTAAATGACTATTGTTAATTTTAAATTAATACTATTTTCTTTCTTTAAATTTTTTTTTTTATCTTTTTATTATATTGGAATTGTACAATTGTATTTTTAACAATCTTATTCTATTTTAAACTTGTAAAGCCCACATAGGGGCTCTATGAAAAGATTGTGGTGACTTTAGTCATCCGTATCTTCTTTGAGCCCCTGGCTGTTTTTATAAATCAACTTTTTTTTGTATGTAAATGTTTATTTGTAATTATATTTTCTTATTATATAAACAGCAAATATATATAAACTAAAAAAAAAAATAAATAAAAAAAATGCAGAAAATGAAAGAAAATAAGAATCATGGTAAAGTTTGTTTGTTTGGTTTTGGAAAACGAGTTTTATAAAACATGTCATCCTCATAAAAATGCAAGCCAAAAAAATTAAAATTCTTTAAATACATTTTGTTCTGCTTTCTCTTTGACTACATAAGGTCATTGGCTACATCAATTATGTTCAGTTCGTCAGTTGTTTTATCGTGTACATTTAACAACATACATTCAACTCATGATATTTCTCAACCAAGTCTTGATTTGAAACCCGCTTGTTAGTAGCGCTTTTTGCTTGTACTAAATGGATAAGCTTAATAAATTTCATGATAAAATTTTGGAACTTTTTCAGAACGGTTGATGGCTGAGTAGTAAGTTTGTACCTGAACGGTTGAGTAGTAAGTTTGTACCTGAACGGTTGAGTAGTAAGTTTGTACCTGAGTTGCAGTTTGAGGTAGAGTCTTAAAGCATTAAAACCTGGAGAATAGAAGAATAAGAAATCTTTGTTTATTAAGCCATTCTCAGATGCATTTATAAATACTGGTTTTTTCTTTTAAAGCAATATTGTTGTTCTTCAAATCTATATTGAATACCTCCAATTGTCATTGCTTTAAAATAAATGTTATTGAAAAAGTTACTGTACTTTGTTATTACAGATACCGATGTTCCAATTTCAAGATCTTTTAACAACTTTCTGAGATAAAGCTAAAAGATTTGATTTTTGCAAACTACGTGGTAAAATCTGCTGCCATGCTGAAGATAACCTTCTCCAGTTGTCTAGTTAAAAGTTATCCACCTCTTTCTCTAGAATTATCATATTTTATTCCACTAACAAACTCAATCACATATAAGTTATGCGGCGTAGCTTATGTGGGATATTCTCATAGTCGCATCTTTTTACAACAACCGATCGTTCATGCTCAAAAAACTTTTTATTCGTGTATATTTTTTCTCAACTCTTCTTAATGTTTCCTTACTCATACAGTTTACTGTTTTTTAAATCATAAACAAATTTTAAATAGTTAGGTTATAAAATTTTAAATAATTTGTAAAAATAGTTCCAAATAAAAAAAATTAAAATAACTTTTTTTTTTACTTGTCATTATTATCAACCTGTTTCTCCGCACAAGAGAGAGAAAGAGAGAGAAATTTGGGGAGGATTCACCTTAGGTAGATGAGTTCAACAAATAAGTGAAGTTTAAGCGTGAAATTTTAATCTAATTTTATGATCGATATATAAACTGATGATCAGTGTGGTACACATGCGGTGTTCATAATTATATAGAGCCGTGGCCACGCTCTCCCACAGACCCCAATTGGGGAGGGACAGCAAATTTATGGGGCCATTTGCAAATTCAGCGGCTTTTTCGGAAATTTAAGGAGTTTTTTTTTGTATTAATACCTTGTGGAAAATATTTAAAAAATTGGGGCCCTGAAGACAGTTTCCTTAGACCCAATAACCACGGCACTTATGCCATCTAATGTATGACAAATCATTAAACAAATACGTATAAAAAACATGATCTTACCGCATTTTAAAATTTAATCATATTTTAACTTATAAAAATAGTAAGTTTTGATTCCATTGTGGAAAACACAAGAGTATTCCAATCACTTGGGTTTTTTTTAAATTGAACAGTTAAAAAAAAAAAAAAAAAATTAATCTATTTAAGCGGTTTTGTAATTAATATTTTTTGGTAGCTGTTATCAAACATCCATTCTTTAAATAATAACGTTTTATTTAGAAAAGGCATGTTTGGTAACCAGCTGTAACATGTTTATGAGCAGCCGCAGTGTAGAGGTTAGTGAGCCACCTTTGGGCAAGTTTAATAACATCGGTAAGGAAAGTGGCGTGAACTTCCTTCCAAATGCTCTTCCGTGGTCCTCTGTGATAGAACCATAAGGACTTACTGGGGCACCTAAAATAATTGATTAAAAAAAAAGTTAATAAATTGTGTTAAATACAAGAAGACAACATAAAAAAGAGCGGGAAAGAGATATTAAAACGGCCGACAATGCAAGCAAACTTCATTGTTGTCGGTTTTTTTTCTATTTTGTTTATACTTGGATGTCATATCAAACTTTTCTTAGTTACTGTTTTTTTTTCCTATCCCGTTTCCGTAGAAAAACGGTGAGTTTCTACTCATCCGTTTTTCTACGGGAACGGGATAGGAAAAGGAAAAATAATCACTTGAGCATGCGCAGTTTTACTTCGGACAAATTAAAACTTTTAATACGCATGCTCACGTGATTATTTTTCCCTATCCTTTCCCGTTCCCGTGAAAAAACGGATGAGTGGAAACTCACCTTTATAAAATTTGTAAAAAGTTTAATATATACAAATGTAGTTGGGAATAAATTTTTAAAGAAATTTTGAAAGTGTAATATTTTTTAATTAAGTTTTTAATCTGTTAACTGGCTATGCTACAGTATATAAAAAATATTTTATATAAAATTCAACATATACTTATATAAAAAAGTCATCAGACTTATTTATATAAGTTTTTCTTCAGCAAAAAAATGAAATTATTTTAGGCTGCTTAACTGTAGCTTTACTATCAAAAATACCCCTCTAGGTGGTTGTAACTACCCCTTGTTGTTAACTTTATTTATTAAAGCCAATTACTTACAATTGTACCAAAGTTTATTCGTTTCTGTCATTACAATAGAAGTAAACAAAAAACAAACTAAGTGGTTGAATGTTTTCCGTCTTCCCTAAGTTGGTTTTGATATTAAAAAAGATATTTGAAAAAAAATTAACATTATATATTGCTATTTTGAAATTATATAATATATGAGTTGATAACTTTGCACTACCTAAAAAGTTTGTAAACTAAGCCAATAAAACCATAAAGAATAATAGAAGACAACAAAAAACATTAGAAAAAGATCAAGGTTTACTTTTTTTTAAATTAAAAGAAAATAAATAACAATAATTGTTAAAAAACCATTATTAAACTAAAACAAACCTTTGGTTTTCAATCTTAATTTTTAGTCTTTACCAATAACCAAAAAATGTATGATTTTAGTTTCTTATATTTTGAATTGACTAAAGTTCATCTAAAATTCTAAAAATTATCTCTAAAAAGAGATAATTTTTAGAATTATCTCTTTTTAGAGATAATTTTTACACCAAAAAACAAAATCTCTTTTAGAAAAAGAGATTTTGTTTTTTGGTGTAATTTATTTTGCCGTTAAAGAATATTTACATTGCATATACATATATTAAAATTAATGACAGGAGCAAGAAGAAGGCACAGTTTGCCTTATCGCCGAGCCCCACATATAAAAAAAAAACTCTACATAAAAAAATCTCTACATAACCCAACTTTAGTTTTTTATGTTGATTTTATATTTTTTAACTTTAGTTTTTTATGTTGATTTTATATTTATATATCATATTTACAGTTTATAAATAGTCTGCAAAAAGCAACATGCAAAATTTTTTATATTTTATTATAGTTTTGATTTAATGTAATGTTGTTATACCCTTTGACTAAGTCGAGTTAATCGGCGAAGGACTTCCAATTAATCAACGAAGGGCTTCCTACTAATTGACTAAAAGTCAATTTAGTCGAGTAAAAATCATAAAATCCGTATATCTTTTCATTCGATTTATTTTTTCAATCATTATTTTTTATTTTTTTTTTTTTTTTTGTTCACAAATTACGCCACGCAATTTTTGACCGTTTTAGACCTCTCCCTCCCCGCCCCCTCCTCCTCGTCACATTATCGTAACTCTTTAGTTACTAGTTCCGTATGAGTACCTAGTTTTTTGTTTACTCTTTTAAAGTGTTATCTAGTTCATAACTTGTTAGCAACTTGTTCATTTTTTTTTCTTTTGTTTTCTCGATGCTTGTGATTCTCGTAAATACTTTCATACCGGGCCGCTCCAAGCTGGCTCGTAACCTTGGCCATAATTAAGTTGTGAAGCTCCGAAATCTATATGTCAATATTCTATACAATTACATGGTAAATATGATTGTAATGACTTTTTTGTTAGCAAGTATTTTAGTATAAAGGTCCCTAAATCATTGGGGTTTGGGAAAAGTTTGTCTCGTTGTCGGAGCGGCCCTTTCTTTCCTTCAATATTATTTAAATGATATAAAATTAAAAATAGAAAACAAATTTTATATTCGTATATTTTATTATTTTTATTACAATTTATTTCAAAGAATTAAATCATTTCCATACTTCGACTAAATCGACTTTTAGTCGACTTGGTCGATTTAAAAAACGTTTTAATCGATTTTAGTTTTATATCGAAGTATATTAGTCGGTTTCGTCGATAGCCGAATTATTTAATAGTCGTAACAATACTAATTTAATGTCAAATCATTGATCAAAATTAAAAAAAAAAAATATTTAAGAGCTGATAACATGTAGACAGATAGTTTTTTTAACATTATTTTAAAAAAAGATTGATTTTTTTTTTTTTTTCATAGGGATTCCAGGTTCACCCAAGTTAAGAAATCAAACAATTTTTATAGACGAAGGTAATTATTAATTGTTTTAATAAAAAATTTATATTATATAGAATATAAGTTATAAAAACTTTTTTAAGCTAATATGTTTTTAAAACATATGTGGCTATGAAAACAACAGTTTATTTTACAGTTTAAAGAGTTAAAGGGAATGCTGAAAATAAAAAGAAATTAAAAAAAAAAAGTTAAATGCTGAAAATAAATGGAATTTTTTAAAACGTTGACAAATAAAATCATGAAGATAAGTATTAGCATAATCTGATTGTTGTCGCAATTTACGTTTAATACGCATTCATAGATTTTTAACATTTTGGGTATGAACTTCATCATTTAGGGGATCAACGAGATCCTAATTACTGTATGTTAGTAGATTTCGTTTTGGATGTTTGCAATTCCACCACATGAAGCCCAACCATCGGAAACGATATGATTTCTAGGTGTAATTTCAACGTAAAACCGTTTCTTGAAGTGTTTCCGCAGTGCGATCAGGAACTTCAGCAATAAACATTTACCTGAACCCCTTTCCACTCCTCCGAGCACCCAATGACCAGGTCGCTACTGCCTATGATGATACTTGGAAAAACTTTGATTCGTCTATCTCTATAACAATTGGAGTACCGTCATTATTTACTCCGCCAAAACTATTAGGATTAGTCTCAATCTCTTCTTCACATACATCTTGACAGAAGTTAGCCCAATCAACAAGCGTATGATTAAGACTACTCATACGTGCTTCATGTTGAATGTCTTTAAGTTGCATATCTCTGCTACAGCCAAAAATAAAGAGTACAATCTGCTTCAGCAATAACTTGCTCATGTAAAAATAGATCCATCGCGTACACTTAAACACTGCTTGCATTTTTTGCAGTACCATCGGTAACCGCCCTGTGTTCCCTGGTAAGCGTTTAATCCAAAATGCCGATTACAAGAATTATAAAAAAAAACTGTTTTTAATTAGTTTTCGCTGGGCTAACCATCGGCATTGGTTGATCTAAACAAGTTCTAATAAACCCCAGTTCTCAGTTAAAACAGCTGCCTCGTTTAGTATTTCTGTATCTGTAGCTATACTTTTTAAGGCTCTTGGTCTTCCGCGGTTATGACGTTGCAAAGCCATCTAAATTATTTGATTTTTATAGAATAAATCTAAGTAAAAAAAATGTATTTTAAGCTAGCAAAAAATATTTTTTAAATATATTTTTTAATATATTTAAAAAATATATTAAAAACAATATTAAAAAAACATTAAAAAAATAGTTTAATGTTTTTATTTTACCTTGTTAAAAGAAATGAAAAACGCTATACTCAATTGTAATTGTTTAATGGAATAGTTACATTTTACTTTTATTAAACTCCCATCCCCAGATATTTTTAAAGAAATATAATAAAACGATTTTACGCCGCTATTCTGCACTTTTACCCAACATTTACTTCATAATTTTTTTTTGGTTAAAATGAACATTGAAATCGCGATAGTTTAAGTAAATAATATAAAAATGAAACTAATAATAGAGGAGACTCAAAAAAAAAAATTTTTTTTAATGCTTTTGGGGTAGACCGGAAAACTTGTCTCTACACATAAGTAGGGGAGACCGGGGTTGGTTGCAACAAAATTTTAAAAACGTAACTTATACCCTTTAAATATATATTTTTTCGATTTTATTTTTCAGGGTTATAAAATAGATTTAAGTTACGTATTAATCCAACATTGATAAATAAAATATCAAATTTAGTTATTCCGCAATAGTGAAACAAAAATATGTTGCATTTTACCCCGCACCGGGGCGAATTGCAACAGTGCACGGGGCAAGTTGCAACACAATACTTTTAAAGTATAAGCTTTGCAGAGTTCACATAAAAATTACTAGTTAATCTGTAATTTCTATTTGGCAACAAAACATTATAATTAAAAGAAAAGAAAAGTAGTATTTTAGACTTGACATGTACCTGACATGTTTAGTAAACTAATGCTTACATTCAAAGACTTTAAAAACTGAAGAAAGAAAATAATGAGGATTATTATTTAAGCTCATATATTATTTAAACTTTTAAGTGTTTTTTTAAAAAAGTATTCCTTTAGTTATTCAGTAAACATTAAATCAATTTATAAAAATGCAAGAGTAGTTTTATAAATAATATAAAACACAACTTTCATAAAAATAAACAATAATCTAACTTTGATAACAAAAAAAAAAATTTCCAAGCAATAAAGGCTCATAAAAAAACAAACTAGCATTAAAGAAACTAAAGAGTTTCATTACATTTCAAGTCAACAATTATACTTTTTTATTGTTTTTTTTTTTGATGCAGAAGTACTAGCAGATTTTCGCTTTCTAGAACTAATTTCTTTTTCAGCCATAAGACGCTGTTTTACTGGTGTATCTGTGAGTACTTCTGTATGCTTTCTCTTTGATCTAGTGAGTATTTCTTTCCTGGGTCGTGCTTTTGGTAGCGGTCTTACAACCTCAGGGGAAAATTTTGAAACTGCAGATGGAATTGCATCTGAGGTTGAAGTTGATATACTAATATCAATAGCTGCATTAGATTGGGTTGCTGGACGATCCGTAACAAATGATGGAGCAAAATCTGCATCTGAAAATATATCCTTATTATATGGCAATATTCCTGCCACTCTAAAACCAGAAGATATATTTTGTTGTGTAAGAGAATGTTGTAATGCTATTTTTGCAATTCCTGGTAAATCATATATACTCATTGTTTTCCCTGGACTACTTTTTATCCATGAGTCTTGTGCATTAGCTAAGCATTTTTTAAATGGTCCGAATACAGATCTATCTAGAGGTTGCAACTTATGCGAACAATGAGGAGGGAAAGAAAGCAAAACTATACCATTATCTTTACACAATGTTATTAATTGAATAGATAAATGAGATTGATGATTGTCTAAAAGTAATAACACAGGGCTTTCTTTTGATGGCTTTACATGTCGAATAAAGTGGTTTATGTAAGTAATAAAGCACTCCTCATTCATCCAGCCTGATCCATTCGAAGCACCAATGCAGCCATTTGGCCCATCACGAATAAAGTGATCAAAGAATTTCTTTCTTGGAAAAAGAAACATTGGAGGCACACTATTGCCATATGCATTTACGGCTATTACCATTGTCACTAATGTCCCTCGCTCTTGAGAAGTTAATGCACCCACTTGCTTAATGCCTTTACGAGCAATTATTTTGTTTGGTTTTTGCACAGTGGTGATACCAGTCTCATCAACATTAAAGATATTTGATGCAGAAAAATGATGCCTATCTAAAACATCTGATAATTTTTGAAAAAAAACACCTACATTAGCACGATTAAAGCTAGTTGCTCGTGCAAGACTTGTTGCTTCTGGAGTTCTGATAGACAATCTTGGATGTCGGTTTAAAAACCCTCTCATCCAATCAGGACCAGCCATGGAATGTTTTAACCACGATTTGGGAAAAATAATACCATACTTTACTGCACATTCAAATGCAAGCTTTCTTGTTTCATATGGTGATAATCCAAAATAGATATCAGAACATATTGATATATATGAAGCAATAGCTATTTCTTGTTCATAAGTAAAAACTTGATTCTTTTTATATCCAGGATAAGGTAGTGGCATTCCCATATCAACAGCTTTTTTAACTTTTTTTATATAACGAGAAAGAGTCGAGTAGTGGATTCCAAACTTTTTTGCTGATGCACGAACTGATGTTACTCTTCCATCAATAACGTGGCTTGCTGCCTCTATTACTACTTCTTTTGGATAAAGTCCTTTTTCAGTTTTTCTCTTGTAAGTTCGCATTTACAATTTTTATTAAACCTCTAAATAACATAACAATAAAAAAACACATTACAAAAATCATTTTATATAATTTAGTCTAAATTGCTACATTTATTTATATACCTATTAATGTTTTAAGTATGTACTTAATAATAATAATATTTTAATAATGTAATTATAACTTTTACGTATGTATGTATATAAATGTATATATATAAATGTATATATATATATATATATATATATATATATATATATATATATATATATATATATATATATATATATATATATATATATATATATATATATATATATATATATATATATATATACATTGTATATATATATATATATATATATATATATATATACTGTATATATATATATATACACACTGTATATATATATACACACTGTATATATATATATATATACACACTGTATATATATATATATATATATATATATATATATATATATATATATATATATATATATATATATATATGTATATATATATATGTATGTATATATATATATATATATATATATATATATATATATATATATATATATATATATATATATATATATATATATATATATATATATATATATATATATATATATATATATATGTCTTTGAATATAAAAGATAAGTTTATATTCTATGTTTATATTTATATTCGAGGATTATATAATCCTCGAATATAAATATAAACATAGAATATAAACTTATCTTTTATATTATTAGACATATATACATATGCTTTATAAATATAACATACATATGTACGTTACATAGTCTTATCTTTAAAATTATAATTTTTTTTCAAAAACTTCTTTGCTGTCTTGTTATTAAAAAAAAGTCGATTATTTAGAAAAGTGCGTAAAATTAATAAAGTCCGCAGTTCTTTTGTGATTCAACTTACCCCGAGCAATTTGATGCAACTTACCCCGTAGGCATCATGATCACTCTAATCAATGCATACAATTAGCCATATTAAAAAAATCTATTTTTTTTTACTTTTTGTGTTTGAAAAAGATTTTTTTAACTTACTATTATTTTATTATTGTCATATACTTCTTAGTTTTTTGTAAAACCCAAAAAAACATTGAAACGAAAATTAGAAATTTATATAGAAAAAAAACAATTATCAATAACTTTTAAATTTTTAAGTTTATTACTATAAGTTTTTTATAACTTGCGTGTCATAATTATAGTTATATAATGTAAAAAAATTGAAAAATAATATGTAAAAATTATTCTTTAAAACGCATTGTTGCATCTTACCCCTGTTGCAACCAACCCCGGTCTCCCCTAACTTCTGTGCAAAATTTCGTCACTCTAGTACAATGCTTTCTGTTCTAGCAAGGGACATGAAATTTCAAAAAGTTATTAAAATAATTAAGAATTAGAGAGTTTTTTTATTATTATTTTTATAATAACAATAATGGTCTTTAAAATATAATGTTTTGGTTCGCAAAAAAAGTTCGCATTTTACCGGTTCGCAGTTCGCGGTTCGGAGTTCGCATTTTACCGACAACCTATTATGCACAATTATACAGTAATGTTAACATTTAACATTTTTGTTTTATACACAATTATACAGTAACGTTAACATTTAACATTTTTGTTGTATACGCAATTATACAGTAACGTTAACATTATAAAATTAAAGTTAAAAAATTATTTTGTATTTTTTATGATCCTTGCACAAGTTAAAGTTGCTATTTTGTCTTGAAACTTTCTTGGCTTATACGCCAGCATATATACGCGAGCATATATACACCAACATATATACGCCAGCATATATACGCCAACATATATACGCCAGCATATATACGCCAGCATATATACGCCAGCATATGCAGTAATAAATATTACTTTTCCAGATTATCATTATTAATTAATTAACCAACAATTATTTACAACTAATAAATTATTATAAGTTATTGCTTCAGGTTGTGAATAAGAAAGAAAACAGCAGTGAGAAACAAAAAATGGCGCAATCACCGACAAATTTTGCTAGTATGCTTCCAACAAAAGAATATGTTATTAAATGCGCAATCACCGACAGATTTTGCAAGTATGCTTCCAACAAAAGAATATGTTATTAAATGTTTAATTTACAAAAGGTGGCGTCTTGGATATGAAACAACTGTAATAAGGAACCCATATTTTCTTCCATATCACATTTTGTTTGTGAAAAGCTGCAACTGCTGTATTTTGATGCTTTCATTCCGACAGTTTCAAAGAAACGTATTACTGATATGATTGATGCATATCACAAATCTTATATCGATATCAAGTCTGTTTATAAAAGAATAGAGAAAAGCATGACAACTAAAGCACGAGTTGAGAAGTTTAAAGAAGAATCACACTTTCTTTTTGATACAGCAGCTTGTAAGTATTCTACGTTTAAAGACTACATTTGCCCAAAAGAATCCAAGGTCCCCTTTAAAGAACAAACACTTCTTGCTAATCAGAGAAAAAAGCGTTTATTATCACATGTGCATTGGATTGCTCAATTTGCAAGAAACTAAAAAAGCACGAGCTAAAAAGAGGACAAAGAATTCCTACATAGTTCAAAATCTACTGCGTTTTGCTTATCACAGCCTAATGGTAATAAGCCTTCATCATCGTCAAGTTTCTGTAAAGATTACAAGACAATGGTTGAGGATGAAGTATCTAAACCTAATGACTACGACTATAATCCCAGACCGTCGGCTTTATCTTTTTCGCAAATGCGTCTGAAACTTACTAACACCGCCTTAATAAGTCAACGATTTGGGGTATTGCTTTAACTTACGGTTGCCATAGTTACTAGCGTTTTACACGACGTAGTCCTAGTCAGTAAATTGGATACATCTTAAGTGATTGATAAGAATAAAATTGCTAGAGAGACGTATTGAACCATGAAAAAACTTAAAAGTGAAAGTTCAAAAACTGATAATGATTCTTTAGTAGGTCTTTACTTCGACGGCCGACGTGCCAAAACATTGTCAACAGAAAAAGAGAAGGATAAATACTACCAAAGAGAAACTATAGACGAACACTATTCCTTGGTGAAAGAACCAGGATCTTGCTACGTTGACCATGTTACACCAGCATCAGGAACGAGTCTAGCCATTGCTGAAAGTATTTAAAATTGTATTACAGCAGAAGTGAGCGAAGGTTTAACCAATGTTTTTGTTATAGGGTGTGATGGAACGGTTGTAAATACTGGAGTTTATAATGGGGTACTACGTCGTTTTGAAATGAAGATTGGAAGATTGGTGCAATGGCTTGTTTGTCAACTGCATTTCAACGAATTGCCTCTTCGCAACTTATTTGAACTCCTTGATGGTCCAACCTCCGGACCAACTTCCTACACCGGTTGCATTGGAAAATCTTTAAAGGCATGTGAGCTGCTTCCAGTGGTAACATTTGCGCCAGTTAACTGCACCATGTTATCAGTTAATATACCAAATTTGAGTAAAGACCAGAAGTATTTGAGGGAAATTGCTCTTCCCATTAACTCAGGCATATGTCTTCCAGGTTGCTAAGCGAGATCCAGGCCCCCTAAATATATCACGCTGGTTGACCACAGCCAACAGAATATCAAGATTGTATGTTTCTACCGCATAACTATAAATAACTTCGTACCATAGTAGAGTTCATTCTCAGAATGTGTGCACCTTTTTGCTTTTGCATCAAAAACCATCATTCAATTAAGGATGGAGCGCGGCATCTTTACAACTTAATTCAAACATCCAGATACTTAGATCAACTTAACTGCAACGTCATTGATATCAATGTCATTTCTCAGAATGCTTGCTTTGCATCTTCAGAAAACATTCTGCTTGCAATGCTAACTGATAAGTGAACACATATCAGAACCCTTTGCGTACAAAGAATGATAAAAGCGCGAGAATCCATTGAGATGGTTGAAAACGTTGGGACAAGAAAATTTTATATTCCAAAAATAAACTTTGAAGCGAATGACTACATCGAACTAATTGGCTGGTCGTCCAACAAAGTTCCTCCACCACCAGTACTAAATAATATAACCACAGAAGATTTGAAAAAAATGCTAAAAGAACCAATACCGATTGACTGGACTTTTACAAAGTTCCCATGCCACACACAAGCTGTGGAAAGAACAGTAAAATTGGTTACGGAGGCCTCAAAGAAAGTGTGTGAACATTATAAACGGGATGGATTTATTTTCTCCACTCTAAAATCGAGAAAGGCCATGCCTGAATTTAGGTACAAGAGATAGTACAAAACCTAAAGACCTAACAAAACAACCATTTTCGTACTCTTAATCTTATATACTTACTTTTTAATTCTTATAATATTCTAATAATAGTCTGCTATTAAAAATTTATATGTAAGTGTATAACAGTTCAAGTTTATGTTTCATAAATTTTAGTTAAATAATGACAAAAAAGCGGATTTGTCGATTTTGGTGTAATTTCAGTTTCTTTGCCAGAACAGAAAAAATTTTACGTTGGGCGTCAAATTTAGTACAGTAACTAATCATACACATGTACAGCTCTTGCATACTACCGCGAAGTGCTGTGACGCCTAAAATATTTTTAAAAAATGTATAAAAAAATAGATATTTTACTAAATTTTTGAAATTTCAAGTCCCTTGCCAGAACAGAAGACATTGCACTAAGGTGTTAAAATTTTGAACAGAGTTTACTTATGTGTAGAGACAAGTTTTCCGCTCTACCTCAAAGGCATCATAAAGAATTTTCGACCCCCCCCCTCCCTAACCAATAACCTAAAAATAAGAAATTAAACCTTTCTTCATTAAAATTTTTATATATTTAGTATGTAATAGTTTGAGTTTTAATACTATTACTATTCTAAACTAAAATTATATTTCATTGACTGGTTTCGAGTTTCATCTAATATTATTTCAGCATTTAAAACTTTTACAAACCCCTAAAATAAAGATTTTTCAAACTCATATACATCTATAATTATATCTCTTTTTGTTTGTCTTCGATAATGTTGACAGCACGGTCATTGTAAGTAAACTATTAGTAGTAAAATAGATGAATAAAGACATAAGATTCAACAGAGATTTTTTGTATACCTAAAATTCACAAGCTTTCACTATTTTTCAGTAAGTCCCGACGGCTCCACAATTCTAATATGGGAAAACATAAAATTCTTGGATTTTATAAAATTTTAAAATTGAAACATGAATAGAAAAATATGAAAATGTAAAGTTTGTGATTAATTAATGTTGCAAAAAAATTCTTCAATATTGCTAATAAATATATTTTCAGAAAACCAAAAGAAAAATGGTGGAAAATTTGCACTAATAAAACAAAAGTTGGTATGCACTTATTTTTTAATTTTTATTATGAATAACAAGTATTATTTATAAACAATGTAATATGCAGTTGTCAAGACCTACTCATCATCTAAAAGGCAGTAAACATTTGATATTTTGGTAAAAGTTATAATTAAAGTGTTCAACTAAAATATTTAACTATTTAAATTGAATTTATGTCATTAGAATCTAGGGTAAAGATGTTATCAGTAATAGAAATGCAATGAAAAAACTGTTTGCTTAATGTAATAATATGCTACAATATACCATAAAACTATATTATAGAAAAGTACCAATGTAAAATAATTTTGCATACTATTTAATTTTTAAGCTTTTCTTTAAAAAAGATTTTTTTAATTACCAATAATTAAAAAAAAATTTAGTTTAAAAATTGTTTTTTTTTTTGTTGTTCCTTTAGTTACACACCAAAAAGTATAAATCTTTAGTTATAACTAAAGATTTAATTTTTGTGTCTATAGACACAAAAATTAGTTAAGTACACAAAATCACAAAATTTATATTGTTTACATAAGTTTATTTAAGTCAACTTTTATGCAAGATTATTATATTTTTAGAAACGAGAAGACTCTTTGACAGGAAACAATGAAGTTGATGACTTTAAAGGTCTTCTTGCACACATACGCAGTAACCTTTGTGAGGCAAGTGAGCATGACCTCTCTGTTTATAAGGTAATATTTTATATTTTTATTAATAGAATATCATTTAGTATATAGCAATTTTATTAAAGTAATAATAAATCAAATTAAAACCAGTTTATTATCTAAGAAGGATATATTAAGACTTCATGTAACAGTATCATTTTCTTTAGTTGATTGTGTATTTATTTTATGCCCCAAAGTATATACAAAGTTTATGACAAAAATCTTATTAAAAAAATTAGGTCTAGTATAATAGAAATTTTTTGATAGTGCAACCATTTATCAAAAAACCTTATTTAAACTTGCTCTCCGGACCAAAATGAACCATCTTGTCCATTAAGCATAGTGACAATATTAAAAATCCAATAAGCAAGGATTAATGTCAATCTCCTCATATCTGAACTTTTCTTCTAACACCTTCTTTTCTTAAAAACATCGATTTGCCCCTCCCCCTCCTTTCTTTGTTACACCTTGTACAATTTATACCCTTCCCATGCATACATATGCTTGGAGGTTTTATATCCCAAACCCCCCATCTCCCACGGTGGTCTTACACCACCATATAAGTTACATATGCTTGGTAGCCTAACCCTCTCCCCCCAATTCCATTTACGCACGCAAGTGTAATCACGTTTGGTTTTTTTTGGTGCTGTTCAACCATTTTAGCCTTAACAGGCTAAATGAGTGTGCTAAAAAAATTTACGACCATCAAAATGACTGAACAACGATGTATTTTATTATGTAGTACTTAAACCAAGCCAAACATTTGCAGCTCTCAGATTTGCTTTAAAGCCAAGATATTGAAAACAGATATTGATATTTTTTTGTCTTCTATGACATGACTTTTTAATTGAATTTCCATAAAATTAAGTGTTGTAGACTCATAACAATTTAAAAATTTAATATTGACTAAAGACTATCAAAACAAAAAGATAATTCAGCTAGTAGACCTTGAGAGTTGTTATTCATCTAAACTGGATAAAAGTATTAACCAAAGTTCTATTTTAGCTTGAAACATAATGATGCTTTACCTAACAACATAAAATCATAAAAACTGGCGAAATCATTAGCAACACAGATGAAATACACATAAACAAAAATGAAGACTAGAAAGCTGCGATGATGTTTAGATATAAGAAAGCGTACCTTTCCAGTATTATTTTCACTTGGTCTTTTTTATTCAAACCAAAAGTTTTGCAAACAGTTCTAAAGATAAATCTGTTGTCATTTTGTGCAATTTTTTACTTGCTTTGTTAATGACAGACAACAGTTAACAAAAAATAACAACTTTAACATAAAAATTAAAGAGCCAACCTTTTGTATAAACAATTTTATCATTCAACTAAATAAAATAACAAAGTTATTCAGATCATTAAAAAATATTAAAAAAAAAAATTGCAAGCCTACTGAATGCTTCTTCTTTTCTATCGTTCGTTTCACTGGCACTTGAACAAGTAAATACAGACAGATATAGACTATATATATATATATATATATATATATATATATATATATATATATATATATATATATATATATATATATATATATATATATATATATATATATATATATATATATATATATATATATACATACATATTTTACATAATATTTTACTTTATTATATAAATTATAAAATAAACCCGCTTACCGAAAATAGTTATATTTTAATTAAACTTCCAATGCAAAAACGTTTCACATAAAAAAAAGTTGTATAAAAGTATTTTGTAAACAAAAAACGGGTCAATCAGAACGTAACAAAGATAATAATTACGATACTGTGGGTTAAAATCCATCTTTATTACGTTCTATTGGCAATAACAATTTTTAATTTTCTCAAGCAAATAATGATTTCCTTATTAACAACAAAAGTTGTTAATAAACAAATAATAATTTGTTAATTATAGTTATAATAAGCAACCCATGATTTGCTTATTTACAACTTAAGCTGTTTTCCAGTGGGAAACGTTAATGACTTTTCGCCTCCCTGAAGAAAAAAATATTTCTACTGGGTAACGTTTAATTTAACATTTAAATGAAAATTTTCTTATTTCTTTTTTTTAAAGGTCATCTATATAAAAGACGTATTACCGATTGGCGTCTTTTCGACCTCTTTTTTGAAAATGTCTTTTCAATAGACGTCTTTTCCACGTCTTTATTAAAGCTGATTTTAAAAAGACAAAGCAAGTCATAAAAAAGACGTCTTTTATTCGTCTAAAGATATCTTTTTTCCCACTGGGTAGTATTTTGTAAGATATTCATGACAATCAAGAACACCTTGGCATCTACAAGGCATGGAGTCGATTAAATTAATGCAAACATCAATTGATATTGGACATGAATTGTAGGCTTGATGAATTCCATTTGATGAAAGCAAATGGAAGGCACCAACGTGTTCCTATAAATGTTTTTAATTAACAACTTTTTGAGTCCCGTTAAACATTTGACGGGGCCCCCAGCACTAGTTTAAACCCTGACATCGTCTTCCTGATTGTTTATGCTTCTTTGTAGATTTAGTGAGTTCATATCTCTTCATAATTTGTCCAACTGCAGACTTAGTGGCTCCATAAAGCTATAATGTCTTTTGAAACGAGTTTTTGTTTTGAACTGGTCTCAAGATCAGTTTTTACACTGAATATGAGATACATTTCTTAGATCTGATGATCTCTTTTTTTTTTAAACATCTTTGCTTCCAACAAGGCCGCAAGCAACCACTATTAGAGTTGGAAGAGAACAGTTTAAGATTGTAGAGTAAGATAACGATTGACAGACGAATTAAAAGATTGCAAATTATATGAAAGCAAGATGAAGGATGCGAATTCCAAAGAACTGATGTTCCAGGAAAAAAACTAGACAAATAAGGGTTTTTGGAGCATTTAATAACAGTCACAGAAAAAAGATGAGACTTAATTGAACAACGAGTAACACGAGAATGAGTTTTAGTAGGTGGTACAAGAGATGCTAGCTCTTTAGAGCAGTTACATTATAGTATTTGTAGAAAAGAGAAAGAGAAGCAACATTATGAAAACGTGATAATGGTTGAAGGTTGGCTGCAGGAGCAGATCTAACAATGTTTACAATGCGCTTTTGTAACTTGTTTAAAAGAGACAAGGCATCATTAGAAGAACCGCCTCAGATATGGCAACAGTATTCCATGCAATGACAGATTTGAGATTTATAGAGATAAAGAATAGAATCCGGAGTAAAAAAGTGTCAAACACAATAAAGAGATGCAACCTTAGCTGATGCTAATTTTGCAATGGATTTGATATATGGTTTCCTAGAAAGATTCAAAGTAAGAGTTAATCCCTGAAGATGAAGGCTAGATGATTCATCAAGTACATTACCGTTAATAAATATAGGAAGAAAAAAAAATTGAGTTTCATCAGAATTAAAGTTCACTAGCCACTGTGAGCCTCATGCTATAGCGGAAGTGAGATCCTTTTTAAGCTTAAATGCCCTCCTCCAAGCAATCAGAGATTGTTGGCTTCTTATCATGGCAAAAATAAATGGTAGTGTCATCAGCTAACAACGCCGCCTTGGAGGTGAGAATATCTGGAAGATTGTTGTTGTAAATTAAAAAGTGTATAGGGCTAAGGATTGAACCTTAAGGAACCCCTGAAGTTACAGGGTACGAAGAAGAGTGCTGTCCATCGAGGACAACTTTTATATTACGATTGGAAAGAAAGGATTCAATAATTTTGAAGATGTTACCAGATACACCGTAAGAACAAAGCTTATGGAGAAGATCAGCATGCCAAACTTTATCAAAAGCTTTAGAAATGTCAATAGCAATAGCCTTAACCTCTCCACCTTTATCTAATGCATGATAAAACCTATCAGTTATTACCAGTGGCGTAGGAAGGTCGCGAAAGTTTTTTTTTTTTTTTTGGGGGGGGGGGGGGTTGCCGAAAACATTTATTAAAAACGGAAAAGTTCCTCAATTTTGTATTATACAGCAAAATAGATGAAAATGATCTATTTATTCAATTATTTATCCCACACAACCTGATTAATCATCTTTTTAACGTGATTAGTCATCTTTTGCCAGCACACATTCATTTAAAAAATAGTTAGTATGTGATAGTATCTTAAACAGTTTTATAGATATACTTTTGCATGGTGATGTTTAATTGTGGTTGAGTCGTTGCAGACTGAAAAATGATAACTCAGCTTTTGCTATCATATAAGTTTTTTAAAACTGTTTAGGAAATGGAGGGGGAGGGGGCTAAATTCAGTGTCCGCGCCCCCCTCTCCTAGTGTTTTAGTTCGGGCTATCGCCCCCTCTGCCCCCTCCCCTGTTCCTACGCTCGTGGTTATTACTGTTAACAAAACAGCTGTAGAATGAGAGAATTGAAATCTATATTGATGATCAGAAAGTAAGTTATTAGATTCAAGATGAGAATTTAAGTGTTTTTTAATTAAGGATTCAAAAACCTTGCTTATGATAGGAAGAAGATTAATGGGACAGTAGTTAGACAAATCAGATTGCTCTCCAGTATTTTTGAAAATAGAGATAACAGATGCCGCTTTCCAGCATGCTGGAAAACAAGATTCTTATAAGCACTTGTTAAATAGTTTTGAAAGTATAGACGACAGCTCCAGAGAACACTTCTGCAAGACTATAACAGGTATGTTGTCTGGACCACAAGCTGTAGAAGAGTCTGAGCAGGAAATCACTTTAAATACAGAAGCTGGAGTGATACGAATGTCAAGCAATGGATCAACTTGTTTGACGGCTATATCAGGTAGAACGCGACTAGTTGAATCAAGAGATGATATTGATGAAAAGTTCTGAACAAACGATTCAGCTTTGTTTTTAGGTGAGGTGATAAAGTTTGAACCATACAAGAGAGGTGGAATAACAGATTTGCCCTTATTATTAATACTGTTACAGATTTTCCAGAAGTCACAAGAGCCTTATTTTTGAGATAAAATGCCAGATTTCATAACCTGAGAATAGAGGGCTTTGGCATTAGAAAAACGTTTTTACAATGGTTTCTAGCAGTAATAAACAGTCTGTTTTACAACAGAATTTGGGAAATCTGACTACCTGCCGGCCTCAGAAACATAAAACTGAGTTTTAGAGCTGTACCCTCATTAGGAGATAGTAGGATGAGTTGCTTAGTCATAAAAACACAGACACAAGCATTGAGTCAAGAAGATTTAGCATTCGACATCCTAAACTAGAAACAATGTATTATGAATACATCTGCGCCAGCCTAATAGATTAAAAATACATCTGCCCCAGCCTAATTAATAAAGATGGGGTGCGAGGCTTGTCAACAGACAGAATCTGTTTTCCCTTAAGTCTATGACTAAGAGGCTTTCTACAAGACAGTAGCCGGATGCATATAACATCTGCCTAAGATTTTTATCGAGACACCATCTCTAGCCTTTACTCAACCAAGAGCCCCAAGGTAGGGGTGTTTTAAGTTAGAGATGCCTTCTCCTTGCCTTTGCCAAATAAACTGCATCCTGCAAGGCAGTAGGACATGAAGCAGGTTTTACTAGGGCATTCTGCAAGGCAGTAGGACATGAAGCAGGATAACCTAACCTAACTACATTATTTATAAATAAAGTTTTTAATACTTTTCACTATGCGCTTCTTTCCAATATTAACAAGTTAATAATTTTGCGAGGAAAATAAAAATTAACTATTTTGTAAATCAATTTTAAAAAATGTTAATTAAATAATCAATATTTTTTTAAAACAATTTTAAACATGACAAATTTTCAATTGGTGTATAATATCTTGGTTTAAGTAATGTATGTACTAAAATGATGTGTTAAAATATTTATAAATTTCAATTTTTTTAAACTGTCCTCAATTTTTGGATGCTACTGTACTTTTACTAGAGAGTTATTCATTGTATGTTATTATTGAATTTTTGCAATATTGACAGCACGCAAAAATTTCAATGTTGCTATAGAGCAACAAAAGATGCAGAATGCATTTTAATATATAATATAAAATTTTTATGTAGAAAAAGCTTTATTTAGTGTGTTTTAATCATAGTATGCTCTAATTATGTATACTATAAGTAAAGTTTACATCAAATAAAGATGTTATGCATAAAATTACTTTCTGTATCATTGTTCAATAAAAATAAAATGAATTTAAATGTTCTAAAATTATGATTGTATCATGAATGAAAATATCACCAAAATGGCTGAAGATCAGTTGGCGTACCAACTGATTTGTAGCCATTGATATGTATATTTTTTAAATCTAAATAAAGTTTGCATAAATGCGACATTAAGTACTTTTACTTGGGTACTATAATTGTTTTCCCAGTTTTTAACCTTTGAAAGCAAGTTTGCCCCCAAGTAAAAGTATTAAATGTTGTATTTATTCATTTTTTTCTTTTTTTGTTATTTATAACTTTTGTAAACAATCATCTAAAAATATGATATTTATCAATATATTTTTTTACTTTTAACACAGGGAAGTCACTGGTCAACTGTCAATAGTGGAAATGTCATAAACAGTAATGATGGAGTTGATAATGAGCGATTTGAAGCACTTTGGGAGTTGTTTTATGCTGAAATTACATACCTTATGGACCACCTTATTGTTTTGAATGATGTAAGTTTCATAAACTGTTGTTTTATATTGAGATAACTTTATTTTTTTTCATTTTTTTTTAAATACTAAATTAGGAAATAAAATACTACTAACTTGTGTTTATAACACATTTTAACTCATAACCAGGTTTATCCTGCTACTGGTAACATATAATCCAGTACAATCTGCTTCATGTCCTGCTGCCTTGTAGGATACGCCTTTTTAGGCAAAGGCTAGGAGATGCCAACTTGATTGAGTAAAGACTAGAGATGGTGTTTCAATAAAAATACTCATCTTGGGCAGATGTTAAATGCATCTGGCTGATGTCTTGTAGAAGGCCTCCTAGGCAAAGACTTAAGGGGTAAATATATTCTATCTGTTGACCTGCCTTGCACCCCTTCTCCTACTATAAGGCTGGCGCAGATGTATTTTAAATACATTGTTTCCAGTTTAGGATGTTGAATGCTGGATCTTCTTGACTCGATGCATGGGTTTTGCTTGTGTCTTTGTTTTTATGACTAGGCAACTCATTCTATTATCTCCTAATGAGGGTACAGTTCGAAAACTCAGTTTTATGGTTCTGAGGCCGGCTGGTAGTCAGGTTTCCCAAACTCTGTGGTAGCTCTCAGAGAGGCTGATTCCATCAACAGCTGAGTATAGTACTAACAATGTATAAATAAATTGATTATATAAATATATTATAATATTAAATTAATTATATAATTCCATAAATTAAATAAATTATAAATAAATATTATAAATATCAAAGTACTAACAGTGCCATGTTGCACATGGGTGGTGTTCCTGTTTGTACTTTTGGTGTGCATTGCTAAGGCCACATTGGAGCCCTTTGTTACGGCTTAGGGTTTGAGTCAAATTCTTTAACAAATTTAAAAATGAATAAAATAACAAAAACTATAAAATACTTAAAACCATTGTCATCACCAAGTTCTCTAAACCTATCATTCACTAATATTCGTGGTCTTCGAAGTAACCTTTCTTCTGTTGGTTCTTATCTCTTGCAAAGTTCACCAGACCTACTTGCTCTTCATCATTACAATCTCCATCAACACTAAGATCATCTTGTGATCTTAGTGTTGATGGTTATCTTCCTTTAATTCATAAAGACTTCAATAGTCACATGTTTGGCCTGGGGATTTACATTCATAAGAATTCACCCTTTCAAAACTAGGTTTGAATCCACAGTCTACTCTTTTATGCGCTTTCGTTTAGCACCACTTCACTCTATCACCTTTCTCTTTGTTCTATATAGCTCTCCTTCATCTCAAGACAGCACTCTTCTTGGTGTTATTTCTGATCATATTGACCAAGCCCTCTTTCTTTATCCATCAGCCAATATTGTTGTTTTCAGTGACTCTGCAGGCATTAAAGCCCACAACTTTTTTCTTTCTCAATCCCTAACTCAAACAGTCAACTTTCCAACTCGCTTTCCAGACGACCCAAATCATTTACCTTCTCTACTCAAGAAGGTAAATGATTTGGGTTGTCTGGAATGTCTTTTTTCTGATCCTAGTCAGTGCTCAGTTTCTCAACATTCATGCATAGGTGCCTCTGATCACAGTTTGATCTCTCTAAAACTATTATCTCATTCTTCTTTATCATCAGAATCCCCCTATCATCATACATCTTACAACTACCTTAAAGCTGACTGGGACTCTTTCTGTGATTTTCTTCATGATGGCCCTTAGGTAGAAATCTTTCGTCTTCCTGTTGACAAATGTGCTTGTTACATAGCTTTGTGGATTCAGGCTGGCATGAAATCCTTTATTCCCTCTTGATGATTTCAGGTCAAGCCTCATTCTTCTCCATAGTTTCTCTCACATTGTGCTGCTGCAATTGCCAATCGAAACCATTACTTCCATATCTATGAGCAAAATTCTCCAGAAAACAGATGTCTGTTTATTACTGCTAGGAACCATTGTAAAAAGGTTTTGTCTAACGCCTAAGCCCGCTATTCTCAGGTAATGAAATCTCGTATTTCATTACAAAAATTAGGCTCTCGTGACTTCTGGAGAATCTTTAATAGTATCAATAATAAGGGAAAGTCTGTAATTTCAACTCTTTTGTATGGTTCAGACTGTGTCACCTCACCTAAAGACAAAGCTGAAGTGTTTGCTAAGAACTTTTCATCAATATCAACTCTTGATTCCACTAGTTGCGTTCTACCTGATACAGCCGTCAAACAGGTTGATCCATTGCTTGACATCTGTATCACTCCAGCTTCTGTATCTAAAGTGATTTCCTGCTTAGACCTTTACACAGCTTGTGGCCAGGACAACATACCTGTTATAGTCTTGCAGTAGTGTACTCCGGAGCTGTTGTCTATACTTTCAAAACTATTCAACAAGTGCTATTAGAGTCTTGTTTTTGAGCCTGCTGGAAAGCAGCATCTGTTATCCCTATTTTTTAAAATTATGGAGAGCGATCTGATTCGTCTAACTACCGTCCCATTAGTTTCTACGGCAGTTTTGCTAACAGTGTTAACTGATAGGTTTTATCGTGCATTAGATAAAGGTGGAGAGGTTAAGGCCATTGCTCTTGAAATTTCTAAAGCGATTGATAAAGTTTGGCATGCTGGCCTTCTCCATAAGCTTTCTTCTTATGGTGTATCAGGTAATATCTTTAAGATTATTGAATTTCTTCTTTCCAATCGTTTTCCAATCTCTTTTTCAAATTCGGTAACTTCAGGGGTTCCTCAAGGTTCAATCCTTAGCCCTTTACTCTTTTTAATTTACATTAACGATCTCCCAGATATTCTCACATCTAAGGTGGCGTTGTTCGCTGATGATACTACTATTTATTCTTGTCATGATAAGAAGCCAACTCCCTCATTTGAACTTGAAAAGGATTTCACTTCTGCTACAGCATGGGGCTCACAGTAGCTGGTGAACTTTAATTTAGACAAAACTCAATTTTTTTCAGCTTATCGTTATCGTTATAATATACCTTCCTAATTTATGAGTGGTAATCTACTCAATGAGTCATATACCCTTCATCTTCTGGGATTGACTCTTACTTCTAATCTTTCTTGGAAACTGTATATCAAATCCGTTGCAAAATTAGCATCCGCTAAGGTTGCATCTCTTTATCGTGTTTTACACTTTCTTACTCCGGATTTTATTCTTTATCTCTACAAATCTCAAATTCGGCCTTGTATGGAATACTGTTGCCATATCATGGGCAAATCTTCTTATGATGCCTTTTCTCTTTTAGACAAGGTACAAAAATGCATTGTAAACATAGTTGGACCTGCTCTTGCAGCCAACCTGTAGCCATTATCACATTGTCATAATGTTGTTTCTTTTTCTTTTTTCTACTAATACTATAATGGGCACTGCTCTAAAGAGCTAGCGTCTCTTGTGCCATCTACTAAAATTCATTCTCTATTACTAGTCATTCAATTAAGTCTCATCCTTTTTCTGTTACTTTTCTTAAGTGCTCCAAAAACTCTTATTTGTCTAGTTTTTTTCCTCAAACATCAGTTCTTTGGAATTCACTTCCTTTATCTTCCTTTCCTAATTCATATAATTTTCAATCTTTTAAGTCTTTTAAAAAACTTATTTAAACAGAACAAAAATACAAAAGCTTCTTGATCTTTTAAATACACATTAACTTTTGTATATCACGTTTTATAAACAACCTTTTAAGTAATTATTTTTTGATATTATTTAGTATAAGTATCCAAACAAGAAATTTTTCAAAAGGTAAACTGTAACAAAAAGTTTCAGAAGAAAAGTTTACTTAGTTAAATGTTAATTCAAAAAAATTTTATGATTATTATGAAGTAAATTATAATGAAGAACTCAAAAACAACAACAAGAAAAATACATCAATTTTATTTGGTAAAAAGCTAACGATAGATTTAAACAAAATTTTTAACATAAAATAAGTACCTTAAAAACATTTTGGAAAAACTTTCAACCACGTCGTTAATTTTTTATTTTTATTTTTTAATATCAAGACATTCTGTGCCAGTTTTTTTATCCAGAATAGCCCTAAGGTGTTTAATGGATTAGAATCTGATATTTGAGCTCTCTATTTAAGTAGCTTAATCTGCTTAATTGTTTGCTTGTCTTGTCAGAAGGTAAAATGTTTTCTAAAGTTTTTCAGTTAAGGCTAGAAGATTTTTATTGAGATTGTTGTTATAAACCTCAGTGTCTATAATTGGTTCAATAAACTCCAGCTTTCCTGTTTCGTTTCAAGCCATTGATCCACATCATAACATTTCCTTCACCAAATTTTATTGTTCATTAAATGCCACTGATTGTAAATGCTTCAGCTTTCCTTCTTCATAACTTTTGAAACCCATCAAGTTTCACAATCTTAAACTGTTTCAATGGTTTTTTTGAAAAGAGTGCTTTTTTGTATTGAACTCCTGCTTTAAATCCATGCTCTTTCAATGAATTTCGAATAGTAAATAGGCTCACTTGAATACCAAATTCTTTTTCAAGATGGTTTGGTGCTTTTGATTCTTATAAAAATTCTTGAAAATTTGTTGATCAATTCTGGATTTTGTTTTACACTTCTATCTTTGCTGGTTTCTTCCATATCCAAATGTTTCACTTATTTTAATTAAGTTGCTAATGGTTCCTAATGTCATTCTAGTTTTTTCATTTATCAATCTGATTTTTTTAACTTGTTAAATAAGTCAATAATATCTTGATGGTATCAAGAAATAATATAATGGTAAATCAAATGGGTTTGAAAAATATCGTTAAATTATCAGCAGTTACTCATTACTATAAAATGACAATATACCTAAAACGATTGCTTAAAAAACTTTTATTAATAATCTTTTTTAATAATAAAAATTTGTTTAATTGTATTTGAAATCGTGATTAAATTTGCTTTCAAAATAATAATTAAAGTATTTATCAAAAAATTTCGTTTTGTTAATTTTTTAGATGTTAATATATATATATATATATATATATATACATACATACATACATACATACATACATACATACATACATACATACATACATACATACATACATACATACATACATACATACATACATACATACATACATACTAAAACAACGATACTTCTAAGCCTCTTCACTTTTAGGGTTAAAATTTTAGTAAACTACATTAATTAGCAAGGTTTTAATATCAAATGAATGCTTATTTATTAAGGAACACTTTATCTAGATAAGAAAAAAGGTTATTCAGATAAGTAGAACTTTTGTGTCTTGATTGGATGAATATCTGAATATTTGGCTGATTCATAATTTTAGCCACCATCTTGACTTTGTTAGCAATATATTGTTCCATTATTATTTAACCATTAAGTGACAACCTGCTAAATCTGGCCAAAATGTAATACAATATTGTATAAATGAGTGAAAGACAAAAAACATTTTTGTACCTTTATAGACATTTTATATTTCACCTATATAAGTTTTAATTAGGGTGACCATTGTCCCGGTTTTTATGTAGGAGAACACAGCGCTAAACTATTTAAAATTAATTAAACACTGCACTCTCTAACATAAAAACCAGGAAAACAATCACCCTAGCTTTAATGCATTTTCCTTAGTTAAGTTTTTTTGTTTTATATAAAGTTTATAATTTTCAAAGGTGAAATTTTATTACGGAATTTTCAAATAATACCTTAGTATCTCGTTATTAGTCCTTATCAGTTAGTATATGGTTATTAGTAAGTATTGGTTAGTATACGGTTATTAGTTAGTATCAGTGAGTATTTGGTTATTAGTTTGCATCAGTTAGTATCTGGTTATTAGTTAATATTAGTTAGTATAGGGTAAACATTGAACCAGAGAACTTATTTTTTATTAAGATTTAAATTTTACTATTTTCAATTATTTAGGTACTTTTATAGCTTATTTTGTGTAGTTTATTTATTATTTTTATAAAAAAAAACTTTTGAAGAAATCATAATTTTTAATGGAAAACCTTTGTAGTCTTTTTTATTGCATTTTGGAGTGTTGAAATTGAATAGTTAAAGGTTTGTGGTGTTTTGGTCATTATTTTAAAATTCTAAAAAATACTCTGGTATAAATTTTCATTACTATTAAACATAATAATAAATAAGTTTAATTATGTGGCATAACTTGTCTAAAAAAAAAACAAGAGTTCAAAAAAACAATCAAGAAAAGAATTATAGAAATTAAAGCTAATTGTGTACTGTGTTTGAAAAATAAATTGATCTGGAATATATAGTTGGAATGACCTAGACTAGGAATATTTTTTGTTACAGTTTTGCGCAAATAATTTTTGGTACTCAAGAGACTATAATCAAATTGTTGATAAAAATCACTTGTCGTTATTATCATTGTATTGTTCTAACATTTGCATTCTTTCCTATTTATTTATTATTTTAACATTTTCCAATTAATTTTGTTACTATTATCGATTTTTTATTTTTTAATAAAATTATATATTTATATGAACACTCTTGTGTAACAAGAGTTTCTATATTTATTATTGACTTGCAAATAGTAATAACTTTTTGTTCTTTACATATTAAAGGTTTTTGGATAAGTCATTTTATCAATAAGTTTATCTTAAAGTTTTATATTTTACTGATTATCATTTTATTTCCCTAAAAATGTCTATGTACAGAACTATTTTCATATTTGAGCTTGGTCTTCTAATGATGAACAATATTTTCGTAGGTTTTTGCAAAACAACTACAGCATGCAAAAGGATTTGGATTTCTTACAGAAGTTAATGAAAGTACACTGTTTGCAAATTTAGATTCACTTATTGAGGTAAGAAAAGTTTTAGTAATTGAACTTTTCATAGCAGTGGTTTATTTATATCATTGTAAAATATAATTGTTCAAATTATTTTTGTATTCAAATTATTCATAATAGTGTTACATTAATAATTATTATTATTAATTAAAATACTAAATACTAATACTAAAAAAATACTTTTAGTATGAATCCATTACTATAAATAAGTTTTAACTATAAGTACTTTTTAGTGTATTCATAATAAAGATCTATTTATTACCAGTGGTTTATTAGTAGCCAATTGGAACGTGGTTTCATTGGGTTCTGTGTTTGGTAAAATAAAGTTTGGACTCGGTTATAATCGGGTTTAATCTGATAATTTTTGAAAATTTAGTTAAAATTTAAGGTGTTTTTGATAGTTGTCTGGCTTTATATCAATATGAGCCAATAAAATATTACACAAACTCAAAAAGTGTAACGCATAAAATGTTAGGGTTATAGTATTTAGGTAAAAATTATAAAAATTAAATTTGATCTTTCTGAAAAAAAAAGCATTGTAAATCAAATTTTTTAATAGATTTTTCTTCCTCAATTGACATAAAATAAAAGTTATCACTTCTGAACTTTCTAGGGATGAAAAGAAGTTCCAGTTGTAAACAACCATTGTAAATATTAACAAGGTTGGTACATTTGATGCGTTTGTAATAAAGATATTTGAATCTTTCTTGGGTTTAATGAAATACCGTTGATACTGATCTTTAAAATTTATTTATTGTTTTCAATTTCATCATTTGAATTGTTTTGACACTGGTAATGAGCTAAGCGTTCTTTAAAAATTTGTTCAATAATTTCTTTTATTATAGGTTTTAGATTTTCAATTATTGAAGGTATAGTCTCATTTAATTTGTTAATAAATTCTTTGTAAAGGTTGTTACCTCACATCACTAAATAAAAGGTTGTCACCTCACCTCACTAAGTGAAAAGTTGTCACCTCACCTCACTAAATGAAAGGTTGTCACCTCAACTCACTAAATGAAAGGTTGTCTGTATATTCTGAAGAAATGTTATCTGTTCACATTTTAACAAAATAACTATTAATATAATATAAAATAAAAAATAAAGGGTATTCTAAGCAAAATAACAAAAAAATATATATATAAAAAGTTTCTATTTCTTAATAATGGTTTATTCAATCGCACAACTTTTATTTAATAAATTTAGCACTGGAAGCCTTTCATAGTCTCATCAGTAGTGCTATAATACAAAAAATAATTTCTATTAAAAAATTTGTATTATTGTTAAAAGTAAATTAAGTTTATGTTGCTAAGAGTTACAATTGTTTTGTATCTTTTTAAGTAGAAAGTGTTCATAAAATGGTATTATGTTTTTGTTTGTGTAGATGGTTTTCATAAGATAATAAATTCTTTTCATTTTTAAGTTCCAGAAAAACATAAAGCTGTAAAAAAGGCTCCATAGTTTTGTTATTTTTTCTTTGGCAATCATAAACATGATTGTCAAATCTGTCAGTTGATAGGTCAATTTTGCAACTGGAGATATGGCCATTTGTCCAATTTCTTAAACAGTTTGTTTTTCCAGTGTATGTAGATCAGGGTTGGAAAAAACCCAACCCAAATGGGTTTTTCTTTGGCAATCATTAACATGATTGTCAAATCATGTTTATGATTTTTGTTTGTCATCATGTTTGTCATCAAATCATGTTTTTGATTCATGTTTGTTTTTCCAGTGTATGTAGATCAGGATTGGAAAAAACCCAACCAAAATGGGTTTTTTTAAAAATTGATCAAAATTCCAAATTTTTATTGTTGTATGTGTACAGTAATTTTTTTTTTAATTTCGTAAATTTACCTTTCTATTGTTTCAGTGTCCACTTAGGTCAAGTGAGCAACTCAATTATATATATATATATATATATATATATATATATATATATATATATATATATATATATATATATATATATATATATATATATATATATATATATATATATATATATATATATATATCAGGGTTGGAAAAAACCCAGGGTTTTTTAAAAAAAACCCAACCCAAATCGGTTTTTTTGGGTTTTATGGGTTTTTTGGTTTTTTTTAAAAATCGATCAAAATACCAAATTTTTATAATTGTATGAGTACAATAATTTTTTTTTTTAATTTCATAAATTCACCTCCCTATTGCTCCAATGACCATTTCAGTCAAGGGAGCAACTCATTTTTTAAAAATATTTTGTCTCAATCCTTAACATTACCATTTTTACTAACAAACAACATTAACAACTAAAATTTTTAAACAAAGGCGCTGTGTGGAGAAATAGATTGAGACAGTAATTTCAGCAGAGGTAATTTGAACCCCAACCTTCTGGTTGCGAGCCAAATGTTTTACTACTAGTCTACTAGCACATTTTATCTATAGTGCAAAAAGGGACTCCATCAACTATAAATGATGTTAATTAATTGCTCTAAATTAAAAACATGTTCAGAATATTTTTGACTAAAAAAAAATCAGTGTAAAAATTATGACAATTAAGTTATTCAAAGTTGGTAAGACAATATAAATGTTGCAAACTAGTTTTTTTTACTAACATGTTCAACATATCATTTCAAAAACTATTTTGCACAAGTTTACAACATGTAATCAACAAGTTTGCAACACGATGTTGCAACCTTATAAGTTATTATCAATCAGGATGACTATGAACACTTTTTAAACATTTTTGTATCATAGAAGAAAACTGCTAGCCTAATCACTACATTTTTTTTTATCAGAACATTATACTGTCCAGCTTCCTGGAAAAGTTATCGGCCTGATCAACTGGACTGGTAAAAAATGGATTTTTGCCTAAACTTTGTTTCTTAAAATATCTAAAATAAATTTGTTAAGAACCATTACAGTGTCTTTGCCACCAAGTTTTTTTTTTTCCTTAAAGATGTTTTACCGGTTCAGTTTTGCAATGCAAATTGCAAAATGAATCAAAGTAACACATTATATAGCTCTATTGTGTGTGTGTTTCTTCACCTTTTAGCAACTTGATACTGATGTTAATTTTCAACCTGCTGTTCATAGTCACCCCTGTTGGTGGTACATGTTGTAAACTTGTAGCTGATGCAAAATATTAAAAACCTGTCAAAAGACAGATGAGCACCAGTGTCATTTTTACCAACAAATCTTGTCCTTGTGAAATGCATACAAGTTTTCAACATGTTCTCTCATTGAATGAGCAAACGTGTTGCAAACTTGCTTGCACATAACTTAATTTTTTTAAAGTTTTAAAGTTGTATGCATTTAAGGACAAATCTAGTAAACTGTAGCATTTTTTTTTTTGCCTGACAACTTTCCATTTCTAAACTGTAAATAAAGTTTAATAATTTTTATATATAGTATTTCGCTTGTGGCTTTGTATTTTTTTTTTTTTTTTTTTTTTTTGCAGTTTACAACATAAGCTTTAAAAAATAAAAGATCAAATACCAATATAAAGGAATATAGACATTCGAGAGGAGAATAAAGATACTAAATAACTAGTAATGTCTTGAAATTTAGTTAATAGAATGATTTTTATTTCTATTATAAGTATTTAACTAATTTAATGTTTTAATACATATTTCAATAACATTTATAATAACTTGCTAAATGTTTTAAAAAAATAATAAATAACCAACTTGCTACAAAAACAGATTGATCGATTTTGGGTATATTCTAAAGACCATTATGTATATAAATACAGTGTTTACAAGAGTAATTACAGTATTAAGGTTGCACTTGCTGATAATAAAGCATTTATAAGTGTTAAAATCAGAGTTATCAGTTGTAAAATAGGTCATTTTTAAACAAAAACCAAATATATTTTGGGTTTTTTTGGGTTTTATTGGGTTTTTTTAAGGTGGTTTTTTTTTGGGTTTTTTTGGGTTGGCTTTTTTTGCCAACCCTGATATATATATATATATATATATATATATATATATATATATATATATATATATATATATATATATATATATATGTATGCATATATATATATATATGCATATATATATATATATATATATATATATATATATATATATATATATATATATATATATATATGTATATATTTGTATGTATATTTGTATGTATATATATATATATATATATATATATATATATATATATATATATATATATATATATATATATATAAATATATATATATATATATAATAAATTTGTAATGTTTTAAAAATATTTATGCAATCTTTTTTAATCAATACAGGCAACTTCAGAATTTGCAAAGCGCCTAATAAAAATATTCCAAGATTGTCAATCTGTACTAACTGCAAGTACAAAAAATATAGTAGAAGCTTTTAGAGAGGTATATTTTTGTCTTATAGTTATGAAGTGTATATTTATCACTAGTGGCTCAACCTAGATTTTGCATTGTTTAAAATTTTATTAGTTATTCTAATATTAAATAAAGATGACATGGGTTGAATTAAGTGATTGGGAATTGTGAAGGTCTATAGGGAATTAATGGTATTGAAATATTTTAAGAAGATATTGCAATTGCGAATTTTTACATTACTTTAAGTAGAAAAATAATATTGCTGTAAAATTAAATACTTTCTTCAAGTAAAAATTCCAAACTATGTAGTTTTAAATTTAAAACATTTTTTCTATGTATTTTTGCTCATATCATCAACTGCTAAATTGTACATAAAAGTTATGGTGATTTGCAGAATTATAAACTTGCTGCATAACCATTGGATTGAAAAAATTGGTGTTCATGCTTTTTTTACAACAAATTGTTGGCAAAATATTTTGATTACGTAAAGTAAAAGGACAGCTTTTCTACAAGTTTTTTAAACTTTTAAAACTTTTGAAATTTTCAAATCTTGAATGCAAAATTTACTATGTTGTTGCAGGTTTCAAAGTACCATGAAAAAAAAAGAATTTGATTTTAAAAAAAACTTTGAATTGTACATCATTTAAATGTTTTATAGGAAAGCAAATATCATTTAATATCTCAAGTATTATTATTTATTGATTTTTTATTGATTTTTTTGAATAACAGTTAAAGAAATGTTTGTTTTAAAGGTCTTAAAGCATATTTAGACATATTTTTGTTTCAAATAAACTTTGGTATATATTAATTACTTATCATTTATATTATTTTTTTAATAAAGTATTTATAATCCTTTAATTTTTTATTGTTCATTTAAAGACCTTAGTGCTAAAAGTACTTAATTCACAAAATACCATTATATTTGATTTCAAAATCCAATTTAAATATTCAAACTGACTTTATAATCAGGCAAACATGTCAATATACATTTTTCATAACTGATGCATATTTCCAGCGTTGTAATGAATAAGTTGAACTGTTTTTTTTTCTAAGAAATATGAGTTTTTATTTTTTTTAAGTAAACAAGTGAGTTCTTTGCTCAATTCAGTGATTCATTGATGTTTAATATTATTTTTGTTTTCTTACCTTAGTAGTTGCAGTAATATATTCTCTGACTTCATCAGGAAAAATAAGGCTTATGAAAAGTGTTTAAGTTATGGATTGAAAGTAGTTTTAGTATCAATAAGCAATTTTTAGTTGAAAACTTGTAGGAGAAATCATATGTTGCCTTTTTATCATTGAAGGTACTCATGTTGCTTCTCTTTCTCTTTTCTATAAATACTATAATGGGCACAGCTCTAAAGAGCTAGCGTCTCTTGTGCCATCTACTATAATTCATTCTCGTGTTACTTGTCATTCAAATAAGTCTTATTCAATTATATTTAAGTCAAGTAAATCTTATTATTTGTTGTCTTTTATTTATTATTAAGTTGTCTGTTAATCGTTATCTTGCTCTATAAATTTCACCTTTTCTCTTCCAGTAATTACCAACTCTAATAGTGGTTGCTTGCAGCCTTGTTAGAAGTGAAGATGTTGAAAAAAAAAGGTTTAATACATACTCATATAATCATGGCTATCTTTTGTCTTTCATAGAAATTCCAGAAAGCATAAAAATTGGCAGAGAAATGCAGCAACATCATATATATGTAAACAGTTAATTTTGTGAAGACTTAAAAAATCAAAAATTGAATAAAGAAAGTAACTTTATTGCAAAAGATTGTTTGGGATGACGTAAAAGCTGAAAGAGCATAATGCCAACTTCAAAATCAACTTGAGTTCTTATCTAACCAGTTTCTTAAGCTATTAATGGAGAAAAGAAATGCAGCTTTATGCTTTTAAAAGGATCAAATAAACAAAAAAAGTTATGTAAAGCAAAAAAGAAAGAAATTAAGAATTTTTTTTTATTAAAATAAAGCTAAACAAGAACTAGACTATATTATTAAAGGATAATGTTGGATCTATTTAGTTCTAACATTATCCTTTAATAATATTTTATTGTCATATTAATAAAGCCAAATGTTGCCTTTTAATATTTAAAAAAAGCAAATCATAATGGTGTTTGTGATTTTTAATTTAATTGCTCTACTCTATTCTATAATTATATTTTTAAAATGGTATTTTGCTCTCTACAATTAAAAGGAGTCTTAAACAAAAAAATTGACTTGATTGCCTAAATTGGGTAAAGTAAAAGAATTAACTCCAAGGAAGGTTTCAGAAGTGAAAACACTAATTAGAAGCAGCGCTACAGTCGAAGGCAGATTGCTGAGATATATGACGTTTTTGCAGCCTCAGTTAATAGAGTTATAAAAAAAAGATTAGGGGTTTGGTCAGGATTTCTGTGAAGAAAATACAAAGAACAGGAAGTGTAATAGCATCAGGTCAAAGTCTTCTGGTTCCACCAAGACAATCCAATCTGTAAATATTCCTTACGTTGTTTTGTGATTACAAGTGTGCTTCAGTGATGAGAGCAAAGTTTATGTCCTTTTTGAGTCTTCACTGTTAAAATAAGCTACAAGCATCTAAAATGATGCAGAGTTATATTTAGAACATGTTTTATTGCAATAAGATTTTTTCCTAAAAACTATATTTATTAATTTATTGCTGAAAGTCTGAATTTTTTTTTTTTTTTTCATTTGAAATTGTTTTTTATTTGGCAACATCTACCATATGCCATCTGGCATATATTACAAAAATATGATTTTAATACTTTTTGGTTTAAACTTTTTAATTAATTTTATGGACCTAATTTTGTTTAGAGTATCTCCATTTCTATGATAGTGTCCAACCACAGATGCTTAAGCTTCAGTAACAAGTTTTACACTCATGTCTTACTCAAGTGGTTTTTTAATGTCATGACACTCATGTCTCAACTTGAGTAGTTTTTTGAAAAGTTTAAGTATTTTATCTTTTTTCAATCAACCTTTAAACCAGTGAAATTGCGACCCCACCAGTTATCAACATTTTTTGAAATTAATCTTGAGCTTTGGTTCTATGTTTCCTTATTCTACTTACACCCAACAGATGCGATATGTATATTACTGGTTGATAAGCCATCAATGAATTTATTGTTTAGTATGACATTTCCAAATATCTAATAGGCGTGAATGACAGTATTAATATAGGTTCCATCTGCCTTTGCCAAGTTAAGCCTTATTTGAAGCTCTGTTCCCTGTAGTGTTTTGAATATTCAATATATATATATATATATATATATAT